TGTCTCTTAGCAACTGGTGCTGTTGACTGCCATTTCAAAATGTTCTCTTGTATTGCTAGACTCTTTTCTCCATAATGGATGCTCTTCTCCATAAAGCAATTTTCTTTTGTCCTATTGTTCTCCTGCTGCCACTTTTTATATATTCTGAAAGTATTTTAAACTGATGCTTGACAATTTTTACTTCTCTTTTGTTAATGTGAATATGGGAGAATGACTTGGATCAGTTATTATTTTTTTTTAATTCAAAATTTTAACTGTTTCTGTAGATGAAGATTTGCAGGTTTGTGCTTTGTGCTTCCCTTACAGATTGCTGCTGTTTCTTTTACGTACTTCTTACTTGAATATACAAGGCTTCTGCTTTCACTGATTACCACAAATCTAGCCTCACGACTCTTGTTCTTGCCTTGTTCTGGAGTACTCGTTGTGGATCCTTTCTCATTATGTCAGGAGGGGTCACATGATGTGCTAAACTCGCTTTTCTGACTGACGTCCTGATGAGTATCTAAACAAATTTCCTTTCTTTCCAGGGCCAAATAATGCTTCCTTCCTTGAGGGTGGAGTTCAGCAGGTTTACTTCAGTGTCTAATTCAACACCGTTTTAGGTATACCAAGAGGAAGAAGTTGCAATTCAGCCTAATTCATATCTTTTGTTGCTTCTTTGCAACCTGGTCCAAATGTAAGGCTTTTGATGTTATGAACCAGGGTGCAGAACTTCTGGCCTGTGGTCCTGATCAGGCCCAACAGGGCTTTCCAGGTGGCCATGTCCTTTCCCTCAACCATGGTTCTTTTGTTATTTCCTGGCTTTTGTGTAGCATCTTCTCTATTCTGCAAGATTCTTCCTCTATAACTTATTGACAGTCAGAGCTTTAACTACAGTACACTGCCATTTTGATTCCATGCTTTTTGCCTTGACCACCTCTACATTGTCACACCTTCCCCAGCCAACCCTTTTCGAAATGTACTTTGGCCTTGAGACAGACAAACCATGGTTTATTATTGGCCTGCAAACAAGTCATGTTAGCTCACACTTATTTCTGTTCCTTTTCCCATTCTCATGTACCTATCTTTGGCAAAGCTATTTTGGTTTTTAAGTCAGTTTCCTGTGATATCTGAATCTGGAGAATTATGGTTTACGGGGTGACTTTAAATTTGGATCCTGGTTTGTCTTTATATCACAGTTTATAGTTCAGATATCATGAAAAGCTGTGATTGAAGAAACCAGGAGCACTTCACCAAAGTTTGGATGCATGAGAGGAGGAGGGAGGGGGCAAAGGAGTGGACACACAGATTGTTTCCAGTCCAATAGACCATGATTTATCAGACCAGACTAATCTGAACTTGGCCTATGTGGAATGCTAAATTTTCCCTTTTATGTTGGAAAGCCTGGAAATTGTGCTTTAGCGGAATAAACAAGTAAAATGGGAGGGGAGTCTCTGACAAAGGATGTCCCTTTTTTCTCCCCTAGATTTCTTGAGCCACATCAGCATGAAAAATCAAGTGCCTGTTAGCTCTTTGGAATTCAATACAAAAGTTAGCATGCCAAGAGACTTTTGCTGGGAGCTCTGTGGTGTCTGCTATTGATTGCTTCTTCTGTCTCACCTAGTTAGCTGCTTTTAGTGTGATAGCCAATGTCACTTGGAAGCACAGTTTGCCCCAAGGCCATCTCTTCTCTTGCCCGTCCACCACTTACTAAAGTTATTCATGGTTCCCAGTGTTGCACACAGCAACATACACCAATATTTCCCAAGTAACCTTCCCAAATAAGCCAGGCCCATGCTGCTATGGTGCTTTTTGGTTAAAAAATACAGTTCAGTGTTGTACTACCAAGTATTTTGTGCAAAGTTATCCTGCATTCTGCAGTGACTGACAAGCTTTTGCGATGGTGTAGGTTAAAAAGTCTTTGACACAGCTTATCTGTTCTATGCCCTATAAAGAGAGACTGAGAGAACTGGGCATGTGCAGCCTTGAGAATGGAAGACTGAGGGGGGACATGATATGCCTCTATAAATACCTCAAAGGCTGTCACAAAGAGGAAGGTCCAGATCTCTTCTTGCAAATGCCAGAGTGTAGGACACGGAATAATCAATTCAAGTTGCGGCAACCCAGATTCAGGCTGGACATCAGGAAAAGCTTCCTCACTGTCAAAGCAATATGACAGTGGAACCAGCTGCCTAGAGAGGTGGTGGGCTCTTCCACACTAGAGACATTCAAAAAGAAACTGGGCAGCCATCTGAGTGGGATGGTGTAATATGGTGTCCTGCAACAGCCTTCATGGCCTCTTCCAACTCTTCTATTCTATGATTCTATGATTAGCTGGGTCCCCTTGCAATTGTGTAACAGCTGTGTCCCAACAAATATACGTACATGATGTTCTTATTTTCTTGTTTCTGCCACTGTGTCATCATGGATCTGTTTGTAATAGAGCCCTATGGAGTTTGGTGTTATACTGGTTGACCTGAATGGGGCAAGTAAGACAGGCATCTTCTGAAGTGACATCATCTAGAATTCTATATCAGGTGTTTGTACATATATGTAATGTATATTAAGGAAATGGGCAGTGACATTATTTCTACAGTCTCTGCCTGATTTGAGCTTAGCAGCACAGCTACTAGTCATCAAACTTTTGCCAAGCACACTTGTTTTACCAAGCACAGCACTATATCTGCTTGTCACAAACCAGCTTGTCTGAATGCTATTAATATTCTGAAGTAGCATTTTGATAATGTTCTTGTCCTTTTAATAAACACCGTTCCTAGCCTCAGAGTTGTCTGCTCTGATGTTCTTAAAGTCACATTTTTTTTTTCACATGAAATCTTGGTATTTGCTATGGCTCCTTCTGTCTTCACCCTCGGATGAGGAAAATTGCTGTGACATTCATTGTTCTCGTTTGTGAATACAAATAATGACTTCTTATTTTCTTTGCTCTCCTGGTACATTATGTGAGTGCTGCTTACTGTTGATTTGCCCTTAATGTGTGCTAAAATACATTTTAACCTTTAGCTGTATCCTTATTTCCCTTTTGGATTCATTTTGTTATATTCAATCTCTGCTTGTGATTTTATTAGAATTTTATTTTGGTAATTTGTGTGGGCTTCTTAGGCTCTCACAAAATAACATTGTTCAATTCTTTCCTAGCAAAATTGAATCACCTGCTCATTGTATTAGGGCAAGGTAGGGCAGGTCTCCATTGGTGGACAACTTGGTGCTACTATTAAAGAAGAGCAAATGGTCAACCATTAAACCAAAGGCCAAATAGGCTTGCAGTACCTTTATCATTAACAAAGTTGTTATGGCATAAACTTCATGGGCTTTACATCATCAGATGCATGGATTTTTAGACTGAGTCAGAGGCACTGTTTGAAATCTACTTCCTGCACCATCATGGGTCAGGTTCTGATTTGGGAGATGTTCCTTTCCCTCCTTCGCACATCAACCTCTGTTTCCCCATAAATATGCTAAAGGGGAGAGAATCAGGGTACTGTGGTAAGGGGAATGAGAGGATGGACACCTTCTATCAATGAAACACAAATCCTCTATCCAATCTTTCTCTCTCTCCCTCCCTCCGTCTCTCTCTCTCGCTCTCTCTCTGTGTCTGTAAAACTTGGGATGTCTCTAAGTGCCATAGTTCCAAGACTATGAGACCTAAACACCTAAGGAGAACCTCGGAATATCTACTTGAGATTATTTGCTTCTTTTTAAAACCTATTGATTAATTTTAGGTCATTTTAATGTGCCTCTGTTTGAAAACTGCAGTACCTTTGTTGGTGAAGATTTCCCAAAACAGAGCATAGCTTTAAATTTGAGGTAGTTTGAGGCCTCCCCCTCCCTCCAGCTGTGGGGCAGCCCTGGCTCAAGGAAAATGGAGTGGGGGGCCATAGAGGTACACAGTGGCAGAGGCACATGCCTGTGCAGTGCCCGCAGTTGTTGCTTTACCCACATGCAAATTTTCCATCTCTGGCAACTTTGAAGACTTCACTGCATCAAACCAAGGGGTGTTCCAGCCTGTCCAAAGCCAGGCCCCTTTGCTAGTGCCTTAATACTTTTCTTAGTCCTCTGGAATTCATTTCAAATATTGGTTTTAATTTTTAACCCCATAGTGGACAACATTTGAGCTTCCTTTATCAAGTACCCAAAATATCTTTTTAAATTTTTCTTCTTCCTTCACTACTGTCTCTAGTAATGCTAAGTTCAAATGGTTTGCTCCATGTTTCAAAACAGAAGTGGTTAGACTTAGTTTCCTAACTTTGGAAATCCTGTAGGGTTATATCTGGGGCTGGCTATAGATGCCAGATGGCTGCCTCCTGCCCCACTCTGGTGCCCCTTTATGCATGAAGAGCCTCTCTAGCAACTTTTTAAAAACTGGATTTTTTTAAACCTTGCTTTTCCCCTACAAAGAAATAGTTGCTCAACCCATCTTACAAATATAAAAGCAAATAAACAACATCCCTAAGAATGATCAACACACTAAAAATAGCATCAGCTGCCACCGCTGCCTCCTCCCATCAATAAAATTAAGCAATAACTTAGTCAGATGCTTATATCAAGAGAAATATCTTCATTTGCTGGCAGATAAAGAAAAACATGCTCAAAGTTCCTCAGGTAGGGAATTCCACATGTGGGGCATTAAGAAAGTCCCTTTGCATGTTGTCACCAGCTGTGCCTCTGAAGACAACAGTGCATGCAAGCAGCTGGTCTTAAAAGATGAGCAGGGTTTGTGGAAGGAAGCAGTCCTCCAAGTGTCCAGGTCCCAAGCCATTTAGTACCTTAATGGTAAGGAGTGGCACCTTGAACTGCATTTGGAAACCCACTAGCACCCTCCCTACCTCAAGCAGCTGGTGCAATAAAGGGTCACATTGTTCCATTATGTTGCCCTGTCAAAATTCTTAAGCAATATTCTCCACTAGTTGAGTTTAATTGAGAAGGACAAAGCAGGCCCAGGTATGGACAACTGTGCTTTACTTATCCTTGAATTCCTATCTTTTCCTCTGTTGCTGTTGTAGGCCATGCTTGATGGTTTGGCAGATCTCCCGAAGTGGTATGGCATAAAGGAAATGCAAGCCAATTGGCTCGGGGACTGCACAGGATGCTATTTTGAGTTTATGTTAAAGGTGAGTCCTTCCTTAGCAATCACTAATGCAGAGCACATCACAATGTGCTACAGGTAGCTTAGAAGTTGTTATAGTATAACCAGAGATGTTAAAAATTTCACATGGTGTATGGGTGTAACAGAGTATGCAGTGAATGGAGTACTTTGAGTACATGGGACTAGTGCAGATGTAATGTTACCCAATGTGCTAATCATGGTGCAAAGATCAGGAGTGCCAGTGGGAATTCATTCCTCCCTTTCATTCTTGAGAATGAACCGTTATGCAGTGTTGCATCAGCATGTTTACTAGGCTTGGTTAATTACAAACTGGTGTTGATAAGCATAACTTAGAAGGTTTATAAACCACAGGTTGACCTAACCATGGTAATTGAGAACATTGGTGGAAGTGTAACATTGCATCATAGTCAAGTCGGAAGACAAGAGAAGGAGACTTGTTTGTGAGTGAATTCAGGAAAGTGCTTGTGAGACAATATGACAGGGGCACATTTGTATAAGATACTTAGTATTTTTGTAAGGTTTTGTCATTAATTTATAGCATATAACAGCAATGGGTAACCTGTGTCTCCTCCACATGTTTGGAGTTACATACTTCATCTTTGGCTATGCTAGTTAGGACTGATGGAAGTTGTAGGCCAAAACATCTGGAGGGCCACAAGAATATTCTTATAGTCATGTCACAATAAAATTATTAATCTTTAAGGTACTAAATGCACTTTTATTTATTTATTAAAAAATAAAAAATATGAATAAATAAATAAATAAATAAATGCACTTTTATATTGAGCTGGTCCATATTTTTTTCTGATATATTTGTCTGCCACCTACTTCTTGTGACAGCTTAATTGAATATACTTTGGAAATCACTAGACTGAAAGAGTTCGTTGCTTTAATGAAACACTACAGAATGAACCTGGACTTACTTCTGAGTAAGCCTGCATAGGATGGTGCTGAAATTATTTGCCTGGGTTGGGTATAATGCTAAGCTGTAGTTTTTTTTTAAACCCTGTTTCTGAACAAGGGAGGATAAGGCACATTCAAACACATGGCTGTTCAGTTTGTTGCGGGTCCCCCCCCCCCCCGCCCCCACACCTCTTCTGTGAATGCGCAACTGCTACACCAAAGCCCTCTGTATTGCCCATGCATTGATAAGACATCACCATATCACCAGTGGTTGGGTGCAGAAACGGGGTGGGACCTCCCCTTGGCACACCCCTGCATTAAAAAAATAACAACAGCAACCCATTCCAGGTGCTTCCCCAGGCATAGCTAGCTCTCCTTGTTAACTCTTTCCTTCTGAGATAAAGTCCTTTCCCTGTGACCATTCTTTCAATAGCAACCCACAAGGCTTTTTAAGTACTAAATTTGCCATGGTGAGCAAACAGAGTGACAGATGTTCGATTAGGACCTGGAGTCTAGTCTTAGAATATAAGAGGAGATGAGTAGTTTGTTGCAGAAACAGTCTAGGTCGGTGTTGACAGCTTTCAAGTGGCACGGGATTTGCTTTTGTTGCACTGTTTGTACAGCTTGCTAAGAGCAGAGGTGCTTTTAATATATACCCTTCCTTAGGTATGGGTAAAAATGTTTAGGGTCTCTTTAAAAGAAAAATCCCCTCACAAGGCTGCTGCAGAGCTAAGTAGCTGAGCTTGGCGGGGGGGGGGGGGCAAGAAAAGAAGCTTGTTGCTAGGCAGAGGCAGGAAGGAAGTAAAGATCTTTGAAAGAGAGAGTTTAAGAGAGAAACCATTTAAACTGCATAAGGGGTTTCATTTTAAACCACTCATGTCACTATAGCTAGACAGACAGTGGAGATAGTACAGTGCCACGAACTAGGAGTAAACAAGAATACTAAGTTTCACTATAACAATACATTATCCTTAGATGCTGAGATTCATAAATCCCTATCAAAATATTGTTTATGATCCTGGTTTTTTAAAAATCTTAAACTATGTTTAGAAAGCCTGGTCAGGTCCAGGTGTACAAACAAGCCTGAATTAGGTGCATGACGTCCTTGCGCAGGCTCCAAAAGGCATTGACTGCTTGGCACCATTTTGACAGCATTTGGGGTGGGGACTCCTGCCCACAGGTTGTCGATTTGTTGCTGTGTTCATTGCTTTTTGCTTGTTAAGTATTATTTTTTCTAAGTATATTTTTAAACCTGCAAACTGCTCAGAGGGCCCAAATGGGAGTATAAAAGTATAATAATAATAAGTGTAAACAAACCATGATTTAGATTTATGTGGGCATTGTATGCTGAGGATATGGCACAGCAGAAAGGATCTTTTTGAATGCAGTCTCTGTGTTTGCAGCTTTCACCAGGGGACAGAGTCTGGCTATAAGTGGAATTGTTGTGTTGGTGAAAAATCACAGTAACTGTTATCCTGTTTTTGGTCAGCTCAATAACAAACCCACAGGAGAGAAGATAATGGCTTATGCATATGCACCTGAAGCCATATATGGTGCATCCCACATATGTATCTCATCCAGCCACAGACTATTACATGGAAATAGCTCTCTAAAGGAAGTTTTCCAGAAGGAGTTCATCCCAGGCAAAGGTATTTTTTTCTAGTAACTGTTTTAGTAGTGCTTGATTTACTAAGGCAGTTGTTTCAGTAGCCTATCAATGTCAGCTCTGAGCAAACTGAACCAATTCATATGTAGTTTTTTCCAGCATAGGGGAATACTTGTAAAAGATCTGTCGAATCTGAATTATAATGCATATGTAGGTTGGTGGCCTGAAGTGGCCTGAAGTTGAGGCAAAAAACCTGCACATCACAGCTGGTGGAGACAGAGAGGGAGATGGACAGATAGGCAGAGTATAGCACTGGCTGATCTTATCTGTGAAGGGAGGTAGCATGGAAAAGCCAGACATGAACATGAGTCTTTAAAGGAGCAGGTGACGCCCCATTAACTCTTTTTGTTAGCTGAACACAACTGAATGGCCTTCTGGTCAAAACAGGAAAGAATCTGTGGCATCTTAAATTTGGCTTTTCCTCTTCCTGTTTTGGCTTTTCCTCTTCCAACAACCCAGACTTCAGGTTTGAATGTCATAGAGAACAACCCAGGGATGAAGTGTTCTTGTATTCAAAATGTTGGCAGTGGTTGAGTAGTTGGGACCAACACATCCTTCTTGCTCCTAAACAACTCATGATTAACAAACCATTGGGTGGTTTATCATGGAAACCAAATCATAGAGGAATACTTTGCAGGATCAAACAGTATCAGGATCAAACAGAATATTCATGTACAAATTGCCGACATGAATATTCAAGCTGAAACCATAGCTTGTCATGTCATCCAAACCTAAGAAGAGTTGAACAATCCTCTCAGAACCCAGAATTAAGCTATGGTTTATGTGAGAGATCCTTAACACTTTGATAACCCGTGCTCCCCAGGTTTGGATAACACGACAAACTGTGACTTGAATGTTCAGGTTGGCGCTTACTCCTGAACTTTATGGCTCATTTAGAGCTGTGGTGATGGTGCAAATCTAGGGTGTGGTTTTGTGTGTTTGTATATAATATAGGAAGGAATCTTACTTGTGACTAATTTCTGTTCATGCCTATGTTTGTGGTGGAAGGGATTACACTTGGTTTCCCTGCACTTGTTTTATCTTAAGCAATAATCCCCAAGCAAGGTACATAAAATACAATATGGTATAAATAATACCTAGTGGACAGAAAGCTTACTCAAGCAAAGGAAAATAGTAACAGATACATAACAATTTACATGATGCAGCAAGAGCAAAAAGAGGAAACTATAATCAAAAGTTTGGGCAAGCTAACATGTGTTTGGCTGGGACCAGTGCCGGGGCGGGGGGGGGGGCAGTCCACAATTTGGCTGCTTATTTGGGCAACTTAATACACATCATATTTCCCCCCTTAGCACCACACATTGCATTACAAACTATTTAGATTCAAAATGAGTGGTATTATCTTAAGCAAAGTCTGATCTTAAGGGCTGCTTGAAACAAAAGGAAGGTGACCATTCTTGGCAGCATGTTTCAGTCATTATCTTTTGGTTTGGTTTGGTTTTTTGGTAGACTGTCTTACTTCAGTGACAGCCATGAATTTGCTCACCGGTCAGGAGGTTCCAGTTGTCATATCAGCAAACTCTGAATTTGAAGGCTACCTTGATACTAAAATAGGTAAGAAAAAAGGACAAACATGATGTGTGTGTGTGTGTGTGTGTGTATGGGGGGTATTGAAATAATAGGGCCTAGAGCTCAAACCTATACATGCAAGAAAGGAAAAGATCCTACTACACCCAGTGTGCCCCAGTCAAAACTTGTGCCTGATTTTTCTGAAAGATGAGCTAAAGGTCTGCTTATACTTAGCTTAGTTACTTCTAGCATTGCCAGATCTGAAGCAGGGAAAACAGTCATATACCTTTTTATGCAGCAGGAAATGAGATATCCATGGCTGCTTCTGTCCCTTGCCTCCATTGCCCTGTCAATATTCTTTGTCCACTTGTTCTAATTGGTCAGGACTGCAGTTATAGCAAGCAAAAGGTTGGCAGAATAGACAACAGGCCCAGGGAAAACTTCAGCTGCCTCACTGGGAGATTTAAAGACATATAACACTTCTGCAGGGACTGCAGGTGGCGCAGTGGTTTAAACCGCTGTGCTGCTGGGCTGGTTGATTGAAAGGTCACCGGTTCAAATCTGCACACCGGGGTGAGTTCCCGTTGCTCCGTCCCAGCTCCTGCCAGCCTTGCAGTGAAAGCATGCAAATGCAAGTTGATAAAAAGGTACCACTTCGGTGGGCAGGTAACAGTGTTTCGTGCACTTCAGTGTTTAGTCATGCCAGCCACATGACCACGGAGACTGTCTGTGGACAAACGCTGGCTCCCTTAGCTAGGAAACGGAGATGAGCACCGCCCCCTAGAGTCAGGCATGACTGGACTTAATGTCAAGGGGAAACCTTTACCTTTACCACTTCTGCTCCAAACTAGCACTCCTAGGTAGTGCAGAAGCATTAATCCAGTTTGTCTACACATCAGTTCAAAAGGGGTTATTTACTCATAGGGGGCATCCTGTTTGCCAGGCATCCATGTCTGCCATTTTTACATGACATTCATGGGCATCCAGCTTGCCGTGGGTTGTTGTGTCATGCAAATCTAAGTGGCGGGGTGGTTTTAGTGTTTGACAACACTCGCTTGTTTTAGAAGTATTTGATGGTTGCCTAACCCTCAAACAATCGGTTGCACCTAGGTTTGCATGACATATTGACCCATGGCAAGCTAGGTGCCTGTGGAAGCCATGCAAAGATGGCACCTGCCGGTGCCCAGCAAAAAAGCAGCAGCTTCCACAGGTAAATTAAGCTACAGTAGGCTCTTATGTGGTATGAACTGCAACATTTTGTAGTATTTAGAACTGTGTATGCAGTCTTAGTTTAGTATTATAGTTTGTGTACACTGTAAAAGACCTGACCAGTATGTATCAGTTCTCATGTTCATAAGCTTTAATGCTGATTTATTGTCAAAGGAAGCAAAACATTAAAATTCTAGTTAAAAGGGCAGAAACCCCAATTTGTTAAAAAGCAAATATATTCACCATTTCTTAACTTTTTCCAGTTGAGTACTTTAAAAAAGCAAACACAAAAACAAAACCTTTTTATTTGAAGTATCAAAGTTAAAATGTGTGTTAAATGGAATGCAATAAAATTAAATAAGTCATATTTGTACATTCTGGTAGCAAATTCAGTTCCTCAAGTGTTGTTCCTTATGTCTCCAAAACACCACCAGCCACACAATAGAAAGGAGATATCAGCAGGCTCGAAAGAACCACAGGGACAAAGGACTTGAATGGCGTGTCCCAAAAAAGAAACAGCTGGCTGGAATTGTGAGCAGTAGCGCTTTGCCCTGCAATGTTTTGTTGAGGGTTCCCTGCTTCAGTGGGTAGAGGGTTGCCTAACCTTGTAGCATATGTCACTGTTTTGAACAGCTGACACCACTGCCCCCCAGTGTGCCATGCAGCACACAGAACTGTTACTTCAAAAACACACATCCAAGCCCCCAGCTATTGGGCTCCCAGAAGTCACATCATCATAGATCTTGGCATCTAGTCTTTGCTGTTAGAGAAAATCCTGAAGATTTTCTCTTGAAGATGAATAAGAAAACCAGGGTGCGAAATGAGGGGCATGTTGCATGCTTCTTGCATTTCAGAATATAAAGCCCAAAACAACAAATATAGATCCATATATCCATATCTATTGAAATGAATCTACAAAGGTTAAGCAGAATGTAGATAGTTTAGTGATGGTGGAGGCAGTTTGATGTTGAAGACCAATTTTGTGGGAGCTAAAATGAAGCAGCGCATTACTCGGTTTTTAAATACAACTGTTAGCAGCCCCTGCCAGTATATCCAGTTGACAGAGATTGTTTAGAGTTGTAGTCCAAAACCTCTGGAAGGCAGTGGGTTGCCTACCCTGGGAGAGAGAAACTTTGGTTAGAGAAGCTGGCAGTACACGCAAGGCATGTATTGTTAACCTTGCTGGTTAAACTGCTGGAGTGAAGTTGCATTTTAAAATTTAAAAAGTGAAATAACTTTCACAATCCATGTAAGAAACATCTTTCTTTATTTTTCCTCCCCAGGAATCCCTTGCGTGAGACCAGAGGATGCTGAAGTTGCTAGGCATTTGGGTCTGACTTTTCAAGAAGTAATCGAAACACTGCCCGACAGCTCAGAGAGACTGATCAACTCTGGAGAGGTTGGCCTATGACTCTCTGTTTCATCACCTCCACTCCTCCATATTGCCTAGAAACAATGGGCAATGTTAAAAATGCATGCGCAAACAGAAATGTCAGACGAAATATAAAAGTCTCCACAGAGCATAATACAACAGGATGACATTAATTGAAAATGCTGGCCTATGCATGTTCAGACAGAGAAAAGTCCTACAATTCCCATGCAGGCTCATACATTTCCTGGGGAGGGAAAATTTTTAAAAGCATGCATTAAATAAGTTGGGAAAAGAGGACTACACTGCTTGTTATTTAAAATGGAAGTGCATCCAAACCAGTTAACTGGGAGTGCTTACAGTCATTCCTTGTGTATTCTTTGAATGTCTTTAAATGCTTGGAGTTGTAGGACTCTTCCTGTCTAAACCCTGAAAGGTGCATATATGTGCAGTGCTTGAACTGGTTCAGTTTAACTGCCCTTCCAAACCATGTAGTGCAGAAACATGGAAGTTCTGGGACTGCCAGAACTTCTTCTTTGTCTGGCTGTCACTGAGAATCAGGCCAGTGTTGGCAGCCTGTACTAGAAGCTTTCACTCGTCGAATAAGATAAGAGAGCTCAAAGTGAATGTGCTGCCTCCCGTTTTGAAGGATTTAATAACATTAATTTTTAAATAACGTGTCTTTTAGAAATTCTGGAGACCAAACATGGGGCATTGGCTCCAGATACACACTTGCAGAAGCTTTGCAGTTGTCGCACATTTCCACCACATGTTGCAAAAGCTGTACTGCAGCAGGCGCCTCTTTGGCTGCATGTGCTATCTCAGGAAAGCACCATAGCAGGCACTGCATTCAACCCCAATAGCCCTGTGCTCTCCCTGCAACAAATGCTGTAGCAGGAAGGAGACTCCCCAAAATGCCTGCCCCCTCTGGCTTGCTCTCCTTCTCTAGGCGCACCTCACCTGCAGTGTCTGGCTGTGAGAAAGGACCAGCCCCACAGAACCAAGCATTTGGGTCTGGCCAGTCCTCTAGGTCACTGCCCTCAATATGTCCTGCCCTGCCCTGCCCTGCTCTGCCCTGCCTGGGCTTGTGGAACTCAGATTATTGGATCGGGGTGCCTGTGCTAATGGCATGGCATTGTGCAAGTGAAAAGTACGCTGCTCTCATTGGATGCCTTCTACTCATACAGGACAGGTTCCGGATCCAATCTAGAAGTTGTCTGAATTCTCCATTGTTACACCGTCTTTCCCAAGGTGTGCATAAGCAAGTAGAGCATGCTGACCCATCAAGAATTTTGGCTGGTGCAACAGCTTAGGGCTATATGAGAAACAGAAGAAATGAATAACACTAGGAAACTCCTGTCACTATTCCAATAGCAGATACAGATTGCCCTGATAAAACTCAGCAATGTGGACTGCTCTTTCTGGCCTGATCCTTTTTGCTTTGTGGATTTTCTAGGCTTAAGCAGAGGAATCAGTACAGCTCAGAACCTCTGTGTGTTTGCATCATGTGGTTTGGAAATAAAACATGCTGATCTCACTACAAAGAAACCTGTGCATGCATGTGATAATACCTATGAGTGTGTGTTGCCATTTTCCACTAACCCAGTGTAGTCCCACATTGAATTCCATTTCAGAAGTCTTTCTGAGGTCAGAAGTTTATGATAAATGTGTAAAATATTGTATGCAGCCATTTATTTCCTGGCCTCAGAAAATTAATTTTAAAATATTAATGCTGCACTGTACTATTTTTATACTCATCCAGTTATATAGTCATCAGAAAGAAGTTACAATCCTAGAAGAATGTCTAGATCCTTCTAGACCAACCCATCAAATTGTATTATTTTTGTCTTAGAGGAGGCCCTTTAACTCCCTTGACTCTAAAGGAGACTGCTGTAAATCAGCAGGGTTGAAGAGAGAATGGAGAATCATTAGGGACTTCAGATAGAATTGCTCTTATTATTTTAAGCATTCTTTTATTATGTAGGAGCATTTTTATCTGCACTTCAGCTGACAAGGCTCGCCAGCTGGACAATAAGAGCAACACTATGTCATTAAAGCAGAAGATTATACAGGTGGCTGAAGTGGCTGCTTGTTTCTTCTTCCTGTTCTTCTCGCAGGGCATTTTCCAGCGGCCTACCTGAGGGGAGGAGGGACCCAGTCCCAGCTTGGCAAAGCAAAAGCAGGTGGGGAAGACAGTGGCCATAGTTTCCCTCTTTGGCTTCTTCTGTCTCCTGCTCCAGGGCAGTTGGTTCTAATTCTGTTCTCTCGACTAAGGGTGGAGGGGTATTGCCATACATAGAAACATGATTGTGATTGCCATAGCAATATGAAGAGTTCAGAAAATCAGTGACTGTCTCTTTTATCAGTTCACAGGTATGAGTAGACAAAAAGCACTCGGCACCATCACTCAGCAAGCAAGAAATAAAGGGTTAGGAGGACACCTTACGAGCAGTAAATTAAAAGATTGGCTGATCTCACGACAGCGTTATTGGGGGACACCTATTCCAATAATTCACTGCCAGAACTGTGGTCCTTTGCCTGTACCTTATGAGGAATTACCTGTGCAGTTGCCCAATATAACATCCTTTACAGGAAAGGGCGGCTCGCCTTTGGCCTCACTGTCACACTGGATAAATTGCTTGTGTCCAAGGTGAGTATTCTACGCACATTTTCTAATATTAAGCAATATCATGTTTGTCTTTCTAGCAGGTTGAAATAGTTTCTCTGCCTCTCAGTTTTACTGCATTGATGTTTAACTTTTATGCTGCTTTTATTACGTTGAATGAGGCTGCTCTCTTCTTCAGTAATGGCATAATTTCAAAAAAGCAACAGCACCATGTACACAGTTGGTAAAGTAACATCTAAGAATGCACAATGTTAGATTTCTGTCATCTTTTTTGATTGCTACCCAAATCAAAACATTAATAATAATTATTGTTAATATAGAATTTACTCCTCTCCCAGCCTGGCTGGAAGATATATTATTTAGCTATATATTAAACATTTAGAATTGCACCCTCATCTAGACAAAGAATTTCAGGGTAGTATATATCTAATATTTTCCAATTTGCCATATCTTCTTATAACAGGAGAAATACTAATTCAGAAAGACTGTGTATGCTTTTTCCCTTTTTTCACTATCATGGGCTTTTGTGGGGCAGAGGCAGTATTTTTGTCTTCTTAGCAAGATTATGTATACTGCTGTCAAAAGCAGAGTTAAAGCAGGATCTGTTGACTGCCTTCCCTTATTCAATTATCTCTTGCTGAGAAAATGAGAGCTCTTTGTACATTTATTCGTGTGGATGCAGAGCTACTTGCATTCTGTTTTTTTCTCAGCACATAGGAAAGACATTGTTTCTGTTTTATTTTGCTGCAAATGCAGTTTGAGAAGCCCTGTCTACCAGAAGCTTATCTGTACACAGGAAATTGTAATGGTAGAAGTCACCTTAACTCCAGTGCTTTAGGTATAGATCTAAGGGCCATGTTGTTTATGGCAGGCAGCTCTCTGGATTAGAAATGGCTTTTACACAGGGCAGATGTTAAGCCTCTTGTTTGCTTGGTCAACAGAGTCTAATTCAGATACAGAGAATTGCATATTCATTCTGGACACTAGATCTATGCTCTCTTAGGCTATATGGGTAGTGGGAGGGAAGAAGCAGTATGTACCTGTATCCTTGGGAAACTGCTTGCTTGCCATGCTTCTAATGGAACATTGCTCTCAGCAGAGTTGATATGATGAATTCTGTATTATTAGGCTGCCTTTTTGGAGTCATAAGTGATCTCAAGCCGTTCATACTTCAGAATACAGAAGCAGTAAACCTGTCACTTTCTCTGGACATTCAAAAGCCTTGTGAAGAGATTCTTTTTGGTAATGAGCTCGCTCAGAGCTGGCATTCAGAAGGACACATTTCTTTTTCTTAGCATTGCAAAAAGCACTTCAGATAAAAAGGAGCCCATGCACTGGCAAATTTCAATGTATATATTCCTACTATATACTTCTTTCTTTATGGTACAGTTGTGTTCTATCCCTTTAGAACACAACTAATGTCAAAGGGCAATTCTCATGTCAGCAATAAGAAGAGTAGGGCTTAATCAGGGGTTGAAAAACAGTTTGAATGTCACGCTTCAATCTGGAGTCATTTTGAGTTAATAATGAAAAGCAACTCAGGCATCAGTGACAAGCACTGACTAATCACTGGGCAGGACTTAGCACCTGGAACTGACTGAGTTTTCCTGTGTTGTCCTGTCCTCACTTACCTTCAACACTGTAGTTCTCTCACCACTTAAATACTACTATACATGTTCAAAAATCTAGGCTGGAACAGCCCTCCACAGACCATCAATTCAGAAGGCAGGAAGGAAGTTGCTTGATGGAACACTTGCCCCATTCCTCTAACCATAGAAAATTAGCATGTTTGTGGAAGACACCTGTCTTAATCTTTTAATTAACCTGTTAAAGTTTTTAAAATTTTCTTTGTATTATAGAATTATAAAAATATTTTGTTAGCATACATACTTGACTTAATTATCACATACTAAAGTGAGTATAATAAACCCATTTAGTAGGTGAACTGTTGCTTCTTCATATAAGTTGGGCAAATGTTACAAACTTATTTACAAGCTGCCTTTTAGGGTGAGCCCTCCAAAGGTGATATAGAACCAGACTTCAAAGCATAAAACGGGTGGGCAACACAGAAACCATGAGCCACATATGACCTGCCATGGCTGTTTACGCAGTCCTCACCTGGTTCTTGATCATTGCTATTCTGCTATTCCAACTATTCTGGGCATTGAGGCGCTCAGCGAGTCTTGTCCAGCAGAATCGGCTCCTGACAACCTGCTGAGCAGTTCCTCATGTGCCTTTTCTCACAGAGCCACTGAGATTCTGGTGGCATGGCTACTTTCATCAGTGTCAGGGAGTGCTGCAGCCCCTGCAGGGTCCAAATGTGACCCAGGTCATAAAACAGTAAGAGCAGTGATTAAGTCACCGTTACCAGTTAAAAGCAGATAGTACCATATGCACAACTGCTCTAATCCGAACTCAGTTACAGACCAAGGTAAACAGGTGAACATTAGGGCCCACTTGAAGTGTAACCATCCTGAACTAATTGTAAGGATGTACTTCATCCAAAGTAGTTGGTTTTCCTACCCACAAGGGTTGTCTGGATTATGTTTCAGCTTGTTTACCCTCATCCATCCCAAAACCAGATACTAGTCCAAGAATTTCACAGCATCCTCAGTTGAGTAGATGGAAATGAATGATAGAATTTTCTGTCTTTCATCCACCTCAGTCCAAGTCTCTAGATGACTTTCCCCAAAGGTATTCCAATGTATAGGGGACAATATAGAACATTCTGTCACCCCCTGCACCATAGGATTGAACCACAGTCTTCCAACATCACCTTTTGAGGCCTGTGGTTGAAGAAGTGATACCACTATAACACTGTCCCTTACAAGCCCAGTGCAGGTCAGTGGTCCAGAACGATACCATGGTCAATGGTGCTGAAAGCTACTTAGAGGTCCAGGAGAACCAAAAAGGTAGCACTCCCCCATCCATTCCCTGGTATAAGTTATCCGCCAGGTTGACCAAAGCTAATTCCATCCCCAAATCAGGTCTGAAACTGGATTGGAATGGATCTAAACAGTGGTATCCCTCAAAGAGGCATTAACCCTCTCTGATGCCTTAATCCGACCCAGTCCTGGTAGTTTTTACTAGCTGAGATGGGCAAGATTTAAGGAACATGTGATAGGCCTCAAACCTCCACAGGATGTACCCACTGGGAAGTATCCATAACACCATAATACCTTAATCTGGATCCAAGCCAACATCAATATTTACAAAGCTATATGCAAGATTAAATCCTCACAAAATGAGACCAAAGTTCTCAGGTATACTGTGTTTACCTGACACAGTCTGTCTTTAGTGGATTGCCAATAAATTACAGAGACCAACACTACAACATGCTAGGTGTCTTCATAGCACCAAAACTGGTCCCTGCACTCATTCCCCAAGGAACAGATTGCTGCCCCACATTGGAATAATGAAAAGAGGGCTAAAGTACTGCAGTTCCTAGGAAAGTCTGAGGTTTGACAGTATTTCAGGAAAAAAATCTCTCTGAATCCATACTAGAAAAGTAGTGATGGTTGTGAATAAAAATATCCTTTCATTTATGGCCCACATATGCAGTTTTAAGAAGGAAGATGTCCTAGAACCTATTTGAGTTTATATCATAATAGGAATACTTACATTACTTGCATTTTGGACTTCTGATGTGGATTGCAAAGCAGGGACTTGCAGGTCTCCTCCCTGCTGAGATCTATGAACCCAGCATGCTTGTGAAGAAACTCAGTTTGCACAGTAGGTTAGGATCACAAAACGAGCATGCACATCAATCCTTACTGACTTTCTATTTTGAGAGAATGGTCAGCAGAGTATCATGCGAATACAAACTTCCCATCCTGTTTCTTTTATCCTACTAAAAGGATGCTGATGCTGATGCTGATGATATGTGTTTCTCAGATGCAAGGAGCCTGCAAAGAGGGAAACAGACACCATGGATACATTTGTTGATTCAGCTTGGTATTATTTAAGGTTCACTGATCCTCACAATTCTGAGAGGTAAGTAATTTAGACACTTTGCATTCAAGTAGGCAGCTGTATGTGTAATCCAATAAACTGGCCTTGTTTTTCATAGATGGAAGAAGAGACAAGCCTCTCCTAGAGATAATCCTTTTGTTTTCAGCTTAGGCTGACCACATGGGAAGAGGATTTCTGTAGGAATTCTTTTTGTGAATCTGCCATTATTGCCCCTTCCCAAGAAGGATACAATGGAGCTGGCCTGCTGGCTATTCTAAAGTATCACTTAGCACAGCTTCTGAGAGGGTACAGTCCTCTTACCACCTTGAAATGCTCAGCACATTTGTAAAAACCTTCCAGGATTTGAAAAGTTACTTTAGAATGGAAAAGGTAATTTAATATGGGACTGAGCTCCATCTACATCAGGGATTTAGAACCAGTTTCAACCGAAGGAGCAAATTCTATTTGGAGAAGCTCTTGGGGACTGCATTTCAATGATGGGTGAAGCCAAAAGCAAAAGGGCTGGGACCCAAAATCCCAGCATATGTTAAAGCTCATACTACTAAACATTTCATCTTTTTAGAATTAGGTGGAAACCACACAAAAGCCAGAAAATTAATTATCAAATGATTGGCCTATGGGGGAGAGGGGTAGACTGGGGAAGAGAAGTATCAGGACAAAATGAGCAAAAGCTTTGCCATAAAATGGCTGCTGAAAGCCTGATACTGTAAGAACAGCTTTTAGACTTACGATGGGATTCCTGAACTCATCAGGAGTCCATATTGCAAGTCTTGCTTTGCAGGTACACCTTAGACATGCTAATGTCCCTGTCTTGAAAGTTCAAGACTGCAAAAAGTGTGGTCTTGAATCCCCATTGTTTTGTCCTAAAATGCCATTAGCAAACTGCCTACATCATCACCCGCCACCGAACAATATGTAACTGGTAGGTTATAAAAGCTTCTTGTACAGACATAATCTCTGTAGTCCCTTCAGGAACTGCTTACATGCACATGTATTTTCCTGTATGTCTGAATAAACTGTAGATGTTCTTTTAATTGTACACCCCCAGTGGACTCTCTCTGGGTGGTTTTTTCCCTCTCTTGACGCTCGCCTCTGGGGGAAGCTGAATTGGGTTATGAGGCCTAAAGTTCTGCACCCTTGGTCTGTACAAACAAATGCTTTCAGTAATATTAGGATAATATATGTGTGGGGGCAGGTGTTCTTAGTGATGTATATGCTTCCAGATGAGCTGTAACTGGTGCTTTTATGTGCCATCAGGACAGTGGGAGGGAACACTAAGCTTTCATTTTTAATTGCCATAATGGGCAATTGAAAGAGAATGTTTGCCAGAAGTGTTTCCATGGGGAGCACTTCTGCTTGGCCATGTGCCACAGGAGGTTAATCAAGATTAACAGCCAGCAGGAGGAAGACATGTTTCTACCAGAAATTTAGAAGCAAAAGCATGGCTGGTGGATCTCAGTTATTTACACCTATTAACATGCCTTCTAATATCTCCAAAGGCTGGGTTTCTAGCATTACACTTTGCATAGATTTAAAAATCTATAATAGTAACCATATGCTACATCACTATGTACCTGGCTTAGCATTTAATGTTGTAGCAATGGCATTTGCTGTGTTGCATTTAAAACCAGTGCCTTCTACTTATTTGGACAGAAGGTATGAAATGAAGGTATGAAAAATGAAATTTTAGTCCAGGGCTGCCTGTACTTACGGCTTGGTCGTTGGAGGCCTATGCATTGCCCACTGTATTCATCCTTGGGGAAACGTTACTTGCTGCTATTTTGGCAAGAAATCTAATTAGGAATGAGTGCAGAAGAAAACCTGTTATTGAGCAATGACAGGTTTGTGATGTACAAAGCTACTTTGCATGTACCTGCTGCTCAAAGAATCATGGCAAAATCTGATACGGCTTGTTCAAATGAATTTGAGTTTATTTTAATTTGTGCCAGGTTCCTCTATTTCTTTGTATTAGCCCGGTTTTACAACTGTTGGATCCCTTTTTCAAAGAAGTTACTTGTTTCATTCTGAGTAGATCTTTTACTTTGCAATGAGTTTGTAATTTTAGGAACATAAATGTGTTAATCTGTTACCTGATGGATTATAATCCATGTCTCTGTCAAGAATATACTTCCGTCCAGTCCACTGGTCAGATACACAGATTCAAATAACTACTACAGTGCTGCCTTGACTTCCTTTGAGGCTGCTTAATGTGAAGATTTGATTTTGAAATGAAGCATTGCCTTTCAAAGTTCAGATTAGACTGTCCACTGACTATTTGGTTGTAATATAGTAACATCACATCGCCCCCTAATGGTAGCATCTGTATGGTGGCCTTTTATGAGTCAGCCAGATCCCCTTTTATAGAGTCTTGCTATCTGGAATGATAATAACTTTTCTTCATCTTTGCACATCCTATTATAGCCTCTCCTTGTTTTCACTTCTAGGCCGTTTCACAAAGCCTTGGCAGACCATTGGATGCCTGTGGATCTGTACATTGGAGGGAAGGAGCATGCTGTGATGCATCTGTACTATGCCAGGTTCTTCAGCCATTTTTGCCATAATCAAAAGATGACTAAACACAGGTAAGTCAGACCAGCATGGCCATCCCAGTCCCGAAATACACACTGAGCCCTATATTCAAAGCTCTTTCAAGGAATCAGAGCCACAAACATGCTTTCTGCAATAGCTAGCCTGTGTACACATACTAGTTTTTCAAAGACTTGAAGTTTGTCTTTTTGAGGACTTAATGCTGTCCTCTGTGATTGTAGGGATTGTACTCTGCATCCCTGTCAAGAATATGCTTCTGTCAAGTCCACCAGTCTGATACGCAGACCTGAATAACACCCACAGTGCTGTCTTGATACACTCTGGGGGTTGCTTAGGTGCACATCAACAGTGTGAAGACTTGGCTTGTCCTGCTGTCAAGATTCATGCTTAAGCATGAATGTGTTCATCTGTTTCCAGTCCATGACAGTTTTGCAGGTATCCCATTGTATCTATTCCATTCAATCTCTGGCTTTTCTTTCTAAAACTACCCACCCAGAAATTTAAACTTTTTTCATCTGCAGTCTCCCCTAACATGCATTCTTTGTACAGAATTTCCCATTTGTCCACAGCTTTTCAACCCTTGAACTGTACTTCCCAGACAAATGGGTGGGACAGCTACCTGCCTATTAGTGTGGGAAGTACAAATGTTGTTAGTTTGCTTAAAAATACAGATCAAACAAAAATTTCCTCCATTCCTGTCTATAGTATGTACATCCTGGTAAATTTTGGTTCCATAGTAGTCTCTAGTTTTGTACACTTGCAGTAGTGGTTGAAGCAGTACTTGCAAAATCTCTAAAACTGCTTCCAGCGGTACAACCAGCACCGTGAGCAAAGACATATCTATCTTAGTATAAGTGTCCCAAGCACATGTTGGATGGTGTCTATAGACTACCATCTTTCCCTACCAACAGTTCACAAAGAAAGTTTGGATCTATTTGGGTTTAGGATTATTCTGTTCATGTATGGAAGTGTACCTGTGTAGCATCTGATACTATCAGACATCCAGACACAGGTATGTTAGACAAAGTTACATGCATAGAACCAAACTCTGCATTCATTCTATTCACACAGGAGAGAGCCAGTGTGGTGTAGTGGTTAAGAACATGGGACTGGGACTCAGACAATCTGGATTCTAGTCCCCGCTCAGCCATGGAGCCAACTGGGTGACTTTGGGCCAGTCACAGACTCTCAGCCCAACCTACCTCACAGGGTTGTTGTTGTGGGGATAAGATGGAGGAGGAGAATGATGTAAGCTGCCTTGAGCCCTTTGTAGGAAAACGCAGGATATAAATCGAAAAATAAATAAATAAATTTCAGGATCTGCATTCAGGATCCAAGATAAACATGCAGATTGACTGTGTGAGCTAAGCTTGAATGCACTGAATTTGACTCATGAATGGAAGTTTGAAAAGGATGTCCACATTGGGTGGTGCAGGAAGAAAACTGGGCAAACCATGTGAACAGGGAAGAAAGATATGCTTTGTATATTTGCCATATATAGATGGTCAGTTCCCACCCCTCTTTCTAATATTCAGTAGAAGTGAAATTGACATGTACATAGGTAAGAGAAAGTAGCTCTTTCTAAGAAAGCAGCATAAAGAAACCTTTCCACCACAGTGAAGTTTTCTCCCCTCAGTGTAATTTGTATAGCTGATTTGCCCATTTAAAACAGTTTTACCACTATTTAGCCAAAAAGGCTCCCAGAGTTGTTGGCATACAATAATAAAAGAAAATGTTTACTTCTCATAGGCTTATCATTTAAAATATATAGTACAGAAGAAAAGATGGTGGGATGGGAAGGGAAGAGGGAAAAAAGTGTGTTTAGAGACCAATTTTTAAAGGACATTAGTCGCTCTAATAATAACCAGATGGGATGGAAACAGTTCAGGGAGAGGAAGAGCCTGAAGGAGCTGGTCTTTCAGCAAAGAAAATGGAATGGCTCTTCTGCTTCCCATCTCCCTCTGCTGGCTTCAAGAAAGCATGACACAAATGCTGAATTTGGCCTTGCACCCTGGCAACTTCCATTGCTCTTAAAAACAATAATTTTTACAGTCTCTGGCTCATCTTCTCCTGTTTGTTCTTCAATTCCTGTCATATGACAATAACAGGGAAACGTCTGATTCCCCTGAGCTATTGTAGCAGTCAGACTGTTTTAAAGTGAGTCATTGTGAAGAGACCTAAATGAAGAAGGGAGATCTGCTGGGGGTGGTCACTGACATCCAAAATTTTGTTACAGTTCTAAAGTAAAATTGGACAGCTGCTGTCTCTGGGGTGTGCCCTGCAAAAGCCATTTATGTTTCCACATGTGACCATGAGGGGGAGCTGTTACTGTAATACAATTAACAAGTAACTCTTAATAAACTGCAATAAGAAGAAATATGGATGTGAAGGTGGAAGGCTCTGTCTCCTTCCCAGACTTTTTATATGATCTGTTTTAGATATTTCCCCCTGTTCCCTTATACAAACATCTGTCCTTTAAAAAAAGAACCGGAAACTACCATAGATGGTAGTAAATATGATAAATATTTACCATAGATGGTAAAATATTTTGTGTTTTTACCAGCATCTGTCTTTGCAAACAAACTCAAACTAAAAGCTCAGCTTGTATCAACAAGGCAACATATGCGATTTAACACAATGTCATCAAAGATAAACGTTCCCTGCAAAATTGGCTCAACCTGGAGGCTTATTCAGTTTGTTTGCTTTTTTCATGTTTTGCTTGAGTTAGCCTTCCCATGTACGGTAAAAGCATTTTGGTTTCAAATCTCTTAACTTATGCTTAGCGGACAGTGTGTGAAATGAAATGTTAAACTCTCCTCTTCCTACCCTGTGTCACTTTGTCCCAACTAGAAATATTTTAAGATCATGTGTTATATTATTGGCTGTATTTTATTTCTATAATGCTGTGATACAAAATGAAGCAGATCAAACCCTTAAGATGGTAAAAGAAGCAAGCTATGCTTGTCTGTCTGCCAAGGAATACAACTACTAAGCTCAGTGTTGCTGACACAAATTGGCAGGATCTCTCCATGGTTTCAGGCAGGATTGGTTCCTAGCCTTACCTGGAAGAGGCAGGGATTGAACCTGGGACCTTCTGCTTCCAAATCATGTGTGCTACCCAGTCAGCTATAGTCTAGTCTCATGTGACATAACACCTCTGCATCCTAGGCCTCTCTTCTCATTTTCTGCTTGTGGGGTAGGAGCTGCTGCAGCATAAGCTCCTCTATGCACTGGCATTGCTCACTTTAGGGAGGATTGATGCTAGCACAGGATGGAGCTGCACTATGCCCTCTTCTCTGTAGCTACCTGGGGCTTGCCAGATCACCTGAACCATACAAAAAAGGGCCAGGCAACATAAGGAGAGGCTCCCAGATGTGTCATTCAGCATTGAATGGGGGTTCTGTCCTGCCTGCGAGTGGCAGCCTATGCAGGGTGTGATAGACAAATGAGGGTGGCTTAGTCCCTTAGCTGGGTAGCAGATAAGATTAGGCTGGGCTTGCAGGACCTTGGATAACACCTCGCAGATATCATGTTCTGAAATGGTCAGATCCATTTTTTGCTAGCCTATCCCCGTCTGGAAAATGGAGCATTTACAGGGATAGTCCTTTGGCCTGCAGCCAGGCGCTCAGCCATCATCTGTCTTGTGTCAGTTGTGCTAGAAAGTACCCCCTGGTGTAAAGGGGTCTGGTTGCTCTTGGTTTTATGGTTCAGAAGAACTGTTTCCAGCATGGTGGTCTTTAGAGGAGAGAGGCTTTTCAACTGACCTAGCAGGATGTTCTATTTTTTACATTCTTAGGTATGTTCTCATATTCACAGTAGACCGCGTGCCTTTGCATTCCTTTATAGCTTATTCTTCAGTTCTTCAAAGTGGCTTGGGAAAGTTTGTCAAAGAACAAGAACAGTGCAAGAGATATTATAACAACAGAAAAGCATTAAATCAAAAAAGCATTAAATCACATATATTAGAGAAGGCAGTACTGTGCAGGTTAAAACACAGTTCTGAAACATAACCAGGGTAAATGGAAAGGTTTTCACTTGGTACTGGAAAGACAACCGACTTGGTGCCAGGTATGGCTCCTTAGGGAGAGTATTTCAATGCTGGGGTACCAGCATAGAGAAGGCCCCATCTTGGCTTACTCCCAAATGATTGTCCAGGCAGGCTCCTAGGAGGAAAGCTGAGCCAACCACTGTCCATGTCACTTAAAAATCCTACCTTTGCTTGAGACATTCTACAAAGAGAGGCCCAAAGTGGAGTGTGGAATTTACAAGTTGATGTTCCTCCACTAAAACTGTGTGTGTGTATATATATGCAGTATGTGTAAAATGTGTTTTAAATATTACTTTCAGCAAGAATTCTTTATCTTTCCTCAGAGAGCCATTCTATAAGCTTTTGGTTCAAGGCCTTATCAAGAATCAGACATTCAGGCTAGCAACTGGCAAGTATTTGAAGAGAGAAGAAATTGATATTTCAGGTAAGTGGGGTTATTAGGATGCTGTATGAGATTGGGTTAGTCTTCCCCATCCTGTCACCCTCTGGCAGGGTTGTACTGGCACAGTTCTGGAAGCTGTACTCCAACCCATCTGGAAAGCACTAGTTGGAGAAGGTTAGCCTAAACAGATATTTTAATAGGGCCAGTTTTAGGGAAACAGCCATTACTTGTTCAGCAAAATTAATCAACAATAGCTTGATCTTTAGGTTCAAAATGAGCATTGCTGATACCTTGGTTCAAAAGCCTGACCTTTCAGGTTGGTTTGTGAAACCTCTGAACAAGCTTACAACTGTACTGTGGATGATCCTTCCTCTAATATAGGAAACTTTTTGTATGGTGGCTTTCACTAGCCTCATGCCTTCCTGGTATGTTGGACCACAGTTCCATCACTCCTAGCCAGCTGGGGTTTATGGAAATTGTAGTCCAATGCTACAGTTGTAGGATCCCAGGCTGGGAAGACAGTCATTACATAACGAATGGAAGAGGCAGGTTGTGCCCCTCTTGTGGGTCACGTCTCCCTTGACTGAATTGATTACAGTAAGAGATGCCACAGTTTTGTCAATGAAATGAGCAAGCCTGTTCCAGATTATAGAGAGTTAATTCTTGAGGACTTGAGCTTGGTTCTTCCCAGGAGATGAGAGCAAGTAATGATGATGTGTTACTGCTTGGATAAGAGCATAACATGTGCCGGTTACACCCTGTGCAGGTTGATGTTACCACGAAAAAGGCTCACGCAAGACAGTAAAGGTGTGATAAAGTGCAAGGGAGTTCTTGCCATTATACAGTGTCTCATGCAAAGAAATGTTTTTGGTATGATGAACTGGAAGCATGATCAAGGAAAGTGAAATGCATTTGCACTCTTGCTTTCTTGGAACATGCAAAGCCACCCTGACTTGCATGTGCGAAGAATCCATTTGTGAAAGGAGACTTGAGACATAAAGTGGGAGGATCCATGTCACAGGACAAAGTCATTGCTTTTTGGAGGACACTCACCAAGATGTTTCTGTTTTAAATGTTACAGCTGCTAAATTTTATTTGCGGTTTTTATTTTATTCCATACTTATAACCTTTTCTGTTGTATTTTACCATGTCATATCTTATATCAGGCTTTTGTTGTTGTGCACTGTCCAGAGAGCTTCAGCTGTTGGGTAGTGTAGAAATATAATAAATGAATAGGATGGGTGAATGAAGTTAATCTTGTTGGTCCCTAAGAGTCCTATTTTCAATCCTTTTGAGCACCCTTCCCCAAATGGGTACCCTCCGTATGTGTTGGACTACAACTTCCATCTTCCCAAGCCAACATGGCTGTAGGCAAAGGACTGGTCCTACCATTTCACAAAGTGAGGCAGTTGCCTCAAGTGGCAGATGCTGGGTGAAATGGTGGAGACAGTGGCATCAGTCCCCTGGCTGATCCCCATGGGAAGACAGAGCTGTGTGTTTCCAGCAATCTTCCTGCAGGTTGCCAACATCTTCAGGTGGAATGATGATGAAGTAGTGGGCATAATCTTGTCCTTTGTGTCAGCGGTATGTTTGGAGCCAGCCCTGAGCAAGATATGGGTGGAACAGGTACAGAATGACCAGTTTCATTATACCAGCCCTTTAGATCTCTGTTAGCATCCATTTTAAAATAATTTTATTGGAAGGCTATAAAAGCCTGGATTAAGGTTTATAAAGCATGTATGTTTTCTCTGTTTAGGTCCTGAGCCCATTCACATAACAACCAAAGAGAAACTGCAAGTGAAGTGGGAAAAAATGAGTAAATCCAAGCATAATGGTATAGAACCTGAAGACATAGTCCAGAAATATGGAATTGATACAATCCGACTGTATATCCTATTTGCTGCACCTCCAGAGCAAGACGTCTTGTGGGATGCAAAGAGTAAGTCTCCACCCCAATGCTAACACCTGATTCTTCTGTTCTAGATATGTGTTTGAATAGCAAATTGCCTTTAGGGGCTCAAAATGGCTGACACAAATCCCAGATTACTCTTCTTGCTAAGTTTCCACTTTAGATAAAACTTCTGAGCTGAGTTGTTTTATTGGTTTGGTTCCTGTATTTTACTCTTTGATATTCATGTTATCTAGGAATTGCCATTGTCCATATCTAGTTTTCACAGGAGCAGGGTGACTTAGGGGGATCTCATAGGATTTTCCCTGCCATCTTTCTGGATCTAAATGTCGTTCTGAAGCTGCAAGTACAACTACTGCGTGTTATTGTTATGTGCTGTCAAGTGGTCTCGATTTATGGCAACCCTATGAATGAAAGTCTTCTAAATGTCCTGTCCATGGCAGCCCTGTTCAGCTCTCCCAAGTTCAAGGCTGTGGCTTTCTTTATAGATTCAGTCCACCTCATATTTGGGCTTCCCTTTCATTTTATGAAGCCTTCAACTTTCCCTAGCTTGTTTGTCTTCTCCAGGGAGTCTTGCCTTCTTACAATGTGTCCAAAGTATGACAGTTTTGCCATTTTTGCTTCTAGAGAAAACTCTGACTTGATTTAATTTAGGACACACCTGCTGGTCTTTCTGTTGGTCCAGGGTATTCACAAAGCTGTCCACCAGCAGCATGTTTCGAAAGAATCTGTGTTCTTCTTGTCATTTTCTTCAATGGGAAACAACTATTTTATTTTTATTTTATTTATTTTATACTTTTATATCCCAGCCAACTACTAACATCTCAGAATAAAAGGAATAAGCATTGGCACCAGGCTAACCTCTTTGAGGAGCATATTCCATATTCAGGGCACCACCAAAGAGAAGGCCCTTCTCTGAGAAACTATCCTCCTAATCTTCTTCAAGGAGGGCTCCCAGAGAAGGACCTCTGCCTCAGATCTTAAGGGGTAGGAAGGCACATAGGGAAGTAGGCAGTTCTTCAGGTATCTAGGACCCAAGCCATTTAGGGCTTTATAGGTCATCACCAGCACCTTAAATTGAGCCCGGACTTCAATTGGCAGCCAGTCCAAACAGTAGAGGACTGGCATAATATGTGAATACCTGCTGGTCCCCATTAACATCCTGGCAGCTCTATTCTGAACCAACTGAAGTATCTGGACCATCTTCAAGGGCAGCCCTACATAGAGTGTGTTACAATAATCCCTGCGGGGGAAAAACATTGCAAATCAATGCATATATTGACTGAATCATTTCCTGTTGCAGGCCAAGGATGGGAGGGTGGGGAGGGATGATTTAAACCCATCCACTACTCCAGACTTTTGCAGCTAAATTTTGAAGTTTAAAGCATATTTACTCAGAAGAAAGTGCATCTGAGTCCAGTAGGACTTAGCCTCTAGTTAAAGACTGCATTGGATACACATTTACTTGGGAGTAAATCCCACTAAACTCAGTGGAATTTAATTCTGGGTGGACCTGTCCAGGATTTCAACCTATGTTAAAGATTTCTGCCCTGGTGCCACCAGCTGGGCCTTAAATTAGGTTTAAGGGGCAAATCCATCACCATTGTTTTAACCTCTTACCCTCCTAAAGGAATGTACTACAACAATGTCCATGCTGGCTGGGGATTATGGTAGTTGTGCTACAACTCATCGGGAGAGCACCAGATTGCACAAGGTGTTCTGAGTATGAAATCAGCAATTCCAGGATTATTAATCAAAGCTATTATAAATGCAAATTGGTAAATTCTGCAGAATCACAGAGCATCATATGTTATCATTTTTCCCATGTTGCACCACTTTCTTTCTCCTTGACTTCTTGGGTAAGATAACCATTGCTTTGGTCCCGACTGTGCATCTAAGTGTAAAGGTGGCAACTCTGGCAAAGGGTTTCTTTCACTATCCTTTTCAGCCTGAAAACAAACCAGCAATGTTCCTTTCATTAAGATTTTAAATCCAATGTGTAGCATTCAGTTAGTGAGGAATTATTTTACTCTGTTTAATGAGTTGTACATTCAGGTATTTTTTTAGATTCAAAACTGCTCAGCGCTGACTCATTACAAGGAGCAGTAGTCTTTGTCAAGTTCTCCCCCCCACCACAATGTTATCTTAACTCCTGCTAATGAAAACCATTCTCTCCTGCCATTTTTTTTTGTCCAGCTGATGCATTCCCTGGGGTGCAGAGATGGCAATCTCGCCTCTGGCACTTAGCAACCAAATTTATTGAAGCTAGGAATTCTGGCACTGTGCCCAATCCTCAGCTGCTGAAACAGGAAGAGAAAGCTGCAGCCAGACATATTTGGGAGCAGAAAAACGTCACTGTCTCCGAGGTTAGGAAAAATGCTGACTATTCTGAAAAATGATGGAGTCATTTAGGAGGCTGTCCTGCCAAGCTTTAGCTATGTAATGGTCTGTTTGTTTTAATGAATACTAGGCCTGATAATTGCATTTAAAACTACCTCCTGTATAAGCTGAGGAAGTCATGTGTGGTTTTATTATCTGATAGAGTGATGGGCCCAGATGTGCCAAGTCTAGGCTAAGCAGCCTCCCTGAACCTATTCCCCTCCATGTTGGCTGTGGTTGATGGGAGTTCTATTCCAACACACTGGAGGAGACCAGACTGAAGAATCTGACTGCACAGGTTATGAAGGCTGAGTTGTTGCTGTGCAAAAAATATAACATTATGTGCTGAACTAGGGTGGGCACTTGGGTAGAAATATTAACTCCCATCAGCCCTGGGCAGTATTACCAGCATTGGGAGATTAGTCCAACAACATCTGAAGGCAGATGAGTTGCCCATCCTTGCTCTATATATACCATAAATGTTTGGTGTAGCACAGCTAAAATGCTTATAAAGAAAATGAGAATGTCTTGAATCATTTCCAGATAGTGAACATCTTTATCCTCCTCCAAACCCAAGCAGGCAAGATTAAAATAAATTATGCTAATTTTAAAGGTGAAAAAATATGCACCTCTCACCTTTGAACTGTGAAGCCTGCCCAGCGTGAATTACTGGGGGGGAAGCATGGTCATTCTGCAGTTCATCCAGAGGTTCCAACATCTGCCTGCCTGACAAACTTGTTTGGGAAAGATGCATGGCTCTGTGGTAGAGCTCATGCCTTAAATGAAGAGGCTCTCAGTCTCTGGCCCCTCCAGTGAAAAGGAGAAAAGCCTGGCAGGATCACTACCAGTTGCCATAGAACGGTGTGAGGGATGTGTGGCACTCCAGATGATGTTGGGCTCCAGCTCCCATGAGCACTAGCAAGCATGAGCAGTGGTCAGGGATGATGGAAGTGGAGATCGAACAACATTTGGAAGGTCACACGTTCTCCATCCCAGAAACAGACAGCGATGAACAAATTGTCTTTTCCCATATGATGAATTTGGTGTTCAAGTGGGCAGCAAGAAGCTTCTCATTATGGAGTAGTAAGTGGAAGACTGTCTCCTTTAGATTTCTGCACCAACTAAATATGGCTGGGTGATGACCAGGGAGGAGGCCTTTTTGGTCATGGCACCCTGCTGTGGGACTGCCATCAGTTCTGGTCCCAGCCGAACTCTAGAGCTAGACCTCCTTTCTGCTGAATGTTTATCGCAGTTGAATCATTTTACACATTTACTTAGTCGGTTTTTTAAAATACTTAGGTTTTATTATCTTGTTACAGCACCCTAACAGTTTGCATAAGGGGAAATGAGAGCCAGTGTGGTATAGCGGTTAAGAGCGTGGGTCTGGGACTCAGGGCAATCTGGGCTCCAGTCCTTGCTCAGCCATGGAGCCCACTGGGTGACTTTGGGCCAGTCACAGACTCTTAGCTCAACCTACCTCACAATATTGTAGCTGTGGGGATACAGGGAGCAAGATGAGAGAATGATGTAAGCCACATCTAGTTTTTTTTAAAAAAGAAAAAGGCAGGATATAAATTTAATGAATAAATAAACATAAAAATCATTCAAATAAAGGCAAATAGAGAAGATCAACCCCTTCTCATCTTGATTGTTTTTTTGTTGTGAAGTTGGACAACTCCTGAGATAATTTAAGTAATCAAAGAAATTTATTTTTCTTTTGTTTAATTAGGTAACAGAATACTTCCTGAAGGATTATTTATTTAATGCTGCAATATCTCGACTGATGGGCCTCACTAACACGTTGTCTGTGAGTATATCATGTAAATTGGCTTATTTCTAGAACTCTTTTTTAAAACTGTGGCTGTAAGCTAGCATGAAGTATAACATGAATGCAACTTGCAGCATAATTGTATTGAAAGTACAGCTGCCTTTAGATTTGTGCAATAGGCATCTTGCTGTGCAGGCTGCCTGTTCAGACCCTTAACAGATTGGTTGGTGTAGAATAAAACCCTAACACACCTAGGCAGTGTAGTAGAACAGTTTTCATCAGCACTTCAGAATATCAACCTTCCCTTCTGTCTGAAACCTGTTGCTACTTTCCTGTAAAGCAATCCTTTCTGGTGTCAGTCTTCTTACCAGTGGTGGGAATGAACACTTGGACCTGTAGGGAAGGTTTAAATCACCTTGAACCCCAGCATTTTTATTGGTGAGATCATCCAGGCCCCATGCAATGATTTACAACAGCATGCTATCGGGTAGTGATCATCACCATCAACTACAAAATCACAGCCCGTGTACATTTTTATAACCTTCCAGTCATGTACGGAGTATTAGGTTTCCAGATAATGTTAACATAATAGCATCTTGATGTCATCACACACAAAACAATATTCTAAACTGATCAGAAATGCCAGTGACAATAGGTTAGAAAATTCCCCTGACTGAGCCTTATTGACAAGTCAGTTCTGTAAATTCCTGACAGTTTGGATCAGCCTCCGTGTCTGCTTAAACGTCTGGGCTAGGCCTGGGGAGATCTGGGGTCCAATCAGCCATAAGGCACTCAAGCATGATGTGCTCCAGGGGATCTTGGGCTGGTCATTATCTCTTTTCATGTACTGGGGAATTGTGAGAATGAAATAAAAGGGAGAGGCGAAGATCCTGTGCATCATGTTGAACTCCTTGAAGAAAAGAAGGGACACATATGGAAAAATAATGTCCAATAAGGAAAATGTGTCTTCTAATACCAAAAAGAAGAAGTGAAGAATCCCACCACTTTGGCCTTAGAAAACTCCTGCTTCTCTTCCCCCAATAGTTCTCTATCTGTTTTAATGCCATAGCTTTATCTAGAGCAGACAGGGCTGGAATGCTGAGAAAGTTTCCAAGCAAAACACAGGGCTTGATAGGGTTATCTATCTTAACTAGCTTATCTTTCACATGTAGAAAGGGAATTAAGAATTTAGCTAGTACTACAGCAATTAATTTGGTTTCCAACATGCTTTTTCCAGGCCCTTAATCCTATAAATTGGTTTTTATGAGCATTCTCTGAGGGTCTCTTCCCCAAGGGCTTGCTAAATGCTAAGAGCTGTTATTCTTTTCAGCTCATTCTTTTGGAGTGAAACTAGAACTTTCCTCTTACTGTAAAAATACTGCTTTTCAAGAACAGCTCTTCATTTTAAAATTACCCTGTTATTTTCTCCACTGATAGGTTCCTTGCTGAAGGGTATTTACATTTTTAAATAGTATTCTTCTTCATTTCCATTGTTCTGCAGCAAGCCTCCCAACAGATTATTCTCCACAGTGCAGAATTTGAAGATGCTCTAGCAACTCTTTGTATTATGCTTGCCCCAATGGCCCCGCACATCAGCTCAGAGATTTGGAAAGGTAACTCGCACAGCTATATTTTTTGTTGTCACAGTGCAGAAGAGAATTCCAGGAAAACTCAAAAGGATTTGGGTTCAACTGGATGGACTCATTTGATGATACAAGAAGTGAGCAGTAGAAACAATACTTTAAGACACACTCTTAAATATCTAGACAGAAAGAAGTCCTAAAACTCCATAGGACTTTTTTTCTTTCAAAACATGCTTAGGACTGCATCTGTGATTCTGGTATCTATGAATAATTCACGGGCATGAAAAAGCAGTTCATTTTCAGGACCTTGCTGAAATAAGTTTTAGTCTTGCTGTCATGGTAAAAACCACTGAGAATCTTGTGGCACACTTGGTGGCATAAACTTTTATGGGCCAGGGCTTACTTGGTCAGATGCTCCCTTTGTCTCACAAAGTAGATTTTGGTAACAGTGAATGTGTTAGTCTCTAAAGCACACTGTGTTTGCTGCAACAAACAAGAGGCTACTCCTCTTGATATTATAAGTCCAAAATATTCAACCCATCTCCAGTGACTCTCTTACTCTGTTATATCATTATTGGTTTGGATTGACCATATCATATCATGTAAATTCTCTCCTTTCTTCCCCTCTGGTTTTTTGGTGAAAGGAAGGTAGACCAAAAGATTAGCCAAGATAAACTGTCACTTTGCAAAGAATCTTTTCTGGATAAAGACCTGAGAAGAACCCCCCCACCCCCTCCGCATCATGGTACCTGGCACAGCAGCCTCCCTTGCTGTCATATTGCATCATTCAGATTCACTTCTGCTGCCAGAAGAGTGCCAAGATCTAAGACTGAGCCATATTTAGAATAATGAAATCAATGGGACTTAATCATTCTTAATGTAAAGGCTCTAACTTATAAATGCATCCCCTCCACTCAGCCTCCTCCTCTGATTCTATGGGGTTAAAATGGGGATTATTTCCTATAAAAAATGGTCATCCATTGAACATTATGGAGCGATTCCTACTCCTCACAAGTATATTTGAGATTTCTTTCTTAGATGTCTAGCATATGCAGTTTAGAGATTTATAGTAGTGCTTGTTCTAATGCTGTGTATCTGCTTCCTCTACTTCTAATCTTTATAAAGCTTACTAACTTGGAGCCCAAGTTTGACTACATATTTCCAACAATTCTTGGATCTTTCCCCCTGATTCCAGAACTGCTTTTGCATGAGCTTTGACCAAAGCTAGGCAGAGAAAAAGCAGGCTCAGCTTGCTTGGCAGTTAGTGGGACATTACGTTGCCCCCTTCCAGGACATGCAAAGAACCTGTTTTTCTATATTTCTTAGAAAATTTAAAATCTATGCAATTTGCTGAATCGCTTTGCACAAAGTGTTTTTTTTATCAGGCATACATTGATCTGGTTCACATGCAATGACAACCCATTGTGGGTAACCAACCATGATGGATTGGCATGTGGTCCAAACCTAGACTGCTTCCTGTGGCAAAGCCAGCCTGACAGCCTATGGCTTGGTGTAGAGGTCTTTCATACCACAGTCAGTTGTCATGTCCTCCATACCCAGGAGAGCAATTTCATCATGGAATGTAGAAATCGGCTGGTGACCTGTTCAGCAAGAATGGTGGAAACCACCACTGCTCTTCACAGTCTTGGCCATGCCATCACCAGCAACAGCCCTGCCACCAATGCCCAAGCAGCATTTTGTAGCAACCTTCACTGATTCACCACCCTTTCCTTTTCATTTCCTGAAAATGGTGGAATTGTGTTTGTACATCTTTAAAACACTATTTTTTACTGGTCTTTCACAAGTGTGCCAGAATGTTCTTACGGTTGGCCAGTATCTATAGTCTTGCCTGGTCAATGTGCTTGTATTTTTCAGCTGTCAAAGGGAGTAGGTGACATGCTGGGAAAAAAGGACTCCTTTGAGGCTCAGAAAATGCAGTTGAGAGAAAAGAGGTAGCGTCTAGAGTGGGGAGGGGGAGACAAGATGGGTTCTTATAGGAAGAACACTGAGATTTGTGTCAGAACCATTGGGAAGATGGGGGAGGGGGAAGGAAAGGGGGAACAAGCCATAATAAGCCTGTCAGGTATACTGTGGGTTGTTTGCCAAACAACCAGCTATGGCTTATTTGCAGGGTAGCTTAACTTGACAAGTGATCCTGCCCACCTGTAGTGAAAACTATTGTATTATAATGTTAATTTCTGAAAAGTTTGTAGGGTGTTCACCTTTAGCCTGCAAAAAGTTGTCATTTGTTTATTTCAACAAGTTTTACACTGCACCTAAATTACAGTGGGGGTTTGGGTGCATAAATAGGTTTTAACTATAGGTTTCTGTTCAGAGAACATCTTCCTCTGGGGGCGGGGGGGGGGTGAGAGAGCACGCGCGAGTTTAGTTAATGCTTTTTCTGCTTAAATAAATATATCTCTTTCTGTGCTTCTCTGTCCTTGACAAAGGGAGCTAATTTTTCCTCATTATGTGCTTCTGACTGTTTAGTGCCTTTGAATGGCACTTAGAAGGCATTTTGCTTACTAAACAGAAATAATTACAGACACATATCTTTCTGGGCAAACATTTAGATTCTTGTGTCTAACTAGGTGTTCCCTTTCACTAGTAGGATGTTCTGACTACATTAAAAAAAATCTGTTGGCTGGGAGAAATAACAAACAGGAAAGCATACATTGGCATTCCTCCAATAGCATATTAAGTTCTTTGAACTGCCCTCAAGATGAATGGAGTTTCTGTCTTAATAGTATTTTGTGGCTTGAAAGTGTTTACTGCAAAATTACATGATCCCAACTTTCAATATATTAGTAGGGAAGGGGCCAGGGAAGTGCATGTTTGAACATTATGTATAGCACATTAGCTCAGAGGTGAACAGACTTCAAATCTGGGGAAAAAAACCCCAACCCTCTTTCTTTTTTTCTTGAACCACCAACTAGCCAGGCACAAAGGATATATATTTGGAATTTTAAAATTCTGATCCAGGAATTTGTTTTGAGTACCAGAATTGAACAGAAATTACAGTCCTCTTGCATAAAAAGGCACTCTCCTTTTAATCCCTTATTTTCTTCATTCAGAGGTATAATTTGGGTTGTGGATCAGGGAAAGAGTCATTTTGTTCTTGCTACTGTTAAAAAGCCACAAGTCAGAATTCCTTGCCAATCAGCTGCAAATAATTCAAGGATGTGCCAGTAAAACAGGACCTACCTTCTCTCTACTCTTTAGTTTAAATTCCTCTATGTTGAATTATAGAGGGTATAACCCTATTAATTCCTTGTGGGGGGAGTCATGTCAATCTACAAATTGAGCACTATATCCAGGTATTAGCAGGAGAACTGCAGAACTGCCCAATACATATCTATTGCCTTCTTCCTCAGACAACAACCAGCGCATTTCTAAATCTAGTTTATAACTCCACATGTTAAGGCTATAACCTCACCCCACAAGATTATAGCCCTGCAAGCTGATTCTCTAGAAGTGGTAGGTGTCAGAAAAGATCACATGATTCCATTATTGGATTTTCCAAGGATCCTGTTCTTAGTAGCCATGAAGCTATAATGTATGTATTTCAAAGAAAGAAAAGCTTTGTGATAGCAAGACTTTCTGAAGTGGGTAAGGGGAATTCATCACTTGTAAGTGTTGTGGTGAGTTTTTAATTGTAGAGATACTTGTGACATCTCACCTACCTTCCACCCTCAGGAAATAGCTGAATTCTGTCTTAAGAGTCAAATCCACTTGAGCCAGTGTTGGCTGTGCCCAACCATCCTAACAAACCATGGTTTGTTAACTTTGAACAACCCCTGAAGAAGCACCATGATTTTGAACTGTGGATTGGTCATGATTAACAAAACATGATTTGTTAGCACAGTTGATTTCTGACAACATAATGACTTGAGTTTGAACAGCAACCTATGATTTCAATAACAACCCACACTCAACCCATATTCACTTTGCAGTGTGGGTTAGCATCTTGCTGAACCCAGCCAGTAGAATCCTATACATGTTTCCCAGAGAAGTGTGTGTACTGTAGCAGCCTAACTTTTTGTGTCTCTCAGTATTAGAAGCAACATAAGCTTTAGCGGTGTACGGGAATAATGGCTTCTGTTTTGAGCTCCCATAGTATGAACTGGAACAGGAAAAACAAGCAAGCTAAATAAGCAAAAGCTTCATTGCAGTTTTCCTGTCAACTGTAGAGGTGTCTTTGCACAATTTTGCATAGCTCTGCCACTAATTGAGAGCATTAGGAGTTCATCTCTTGAACAGATATCCATTTTGATGCTCTTCCATCTAAGTAGCCCTGTTTATGTATTTGTTTTTTGTGTCATTTAACCAGTTTCAGTGTGTCACTCTTGTTTTTTGAGAAAAGGGTAGCTTGTGTTTTTTGTAATGGTGTGAAAAATCCCTGTTATACATGAGAGGAGGAGCACGTTAGCATGTCTTTACTCTCCCAGCCAACATGTGATTATTAGGAATGAACTGAACTTACTCACAAATAGAAAGAAGTTCAAGAGAAGAGGCCAGCTAGAAAATGAATTACCATTCCAAGAGCTTATTCCTTTCCCTAATTAAACTTTCAAAAATTGCACACACTCTCTTGATTCAGTGCTTCCGTCCTTTTGCCAGCACCTAGCCAAGGAGAGAGCTACTTCAGACAACAGGGCATCTGTTGTGGTTATATGGAGAAGACTGCTTTTACCATTAGACACAATTCTTAAGTTCTCTCACACTAAGGATGCCAAGTATGCAAAATAGCAGTGTGATTCACGGAAAGATTGCCTTATGTAGCTTTTTTCCAATAGACTTTAAGCTTGCTCCAACCAAGATTCAGCTGTTGATTTTAGGAGGATATATATTAAATACATGCATAAGTTTAGCCAGATTGTGTTCTTCATTTTAAGAATATTGTCAGCTTGCTTTCATTTGTATCTTTCATCTTTTATAGCGTAATCTTATACATATTTCCTCAGAATTAATTGCACTTGCATTAATTAAAGCCTAAATTAGCCTTGATCTGATGGTATTTGTTATGTTCTGGAAACTTTCTATGGCTTTTTTCTTTTTTCCATGACTTAAAAATCTATTTGGACCATTTTCCTTTCCTTAACCTGTAGATTTTGCTCTCTTTCTCATCACCCTCTTTTGTTGTGATCCCAAATCCAGTGCCCATTCCTTTTCCAGCATGTTGGCAGTTCTGTGCTAAAACAAACGCTTGCAGGGGACAGGGCAATGCTTAGACTGAGTTACCAACACACTCCCCACAAATATTTCTTTAAGTGTGAAGAATCCACCAATGTTATATTTCAGGCTTGTCTCATGTTCAGAACAAACTCTGTACTCATCACCACTGGGATAAGGAGTTGCTGCAGCAGCCCTGGCCTACGCTGGACCCAGAATACATCCAGCAGCCAGATACTGTGGAAGTGTTAGTTCTGGTAAGAACATGAACTCTTTTTTCAGCAGTGATTCATAAGATACGTAAATATTATGTATGTATGTATGTATGTATGTATTTATTTAAAACATTTTTATGCCACCCCCATCGCAACAAAGCCGTGGGGCATCTCACAACAAGTACATAATATAATTGTTCTACAAACACACTTTATAAAATACATTAATGCAAGATCTTCCATTTTAATAAAATTTTGGAGTAGTCTACCCCATTTCTTCTTGTTGTATTTTGGACCCTTTGCTGCATGCAAGCAGACGGACGAGTTCAAGAATATTTATCCTTTTAAAAAATTTACTCTTTGGCCAGAAAGGACAATAGATAAGAGAAATACATCTTGATAATATTACAGGGATTTTCTATCTTTCCCAGAAAAGAAGCCAGAAAGGAAGTCCCCTAATCAGGGATGCTGCCCCACCTGGAGGATGGACTAAATGAGCTGCCCTGGTGTGTCTTGGATGTTTCCAGACCACCACCACCACCCCCCTGCCAAAAAAAAAGAAGGGGTGGAGAGAATGCTTCTGATCTTCAAAGCAGACTAGACTCGAGAACAGCTAAAAGCTTCCTCACATACTTAACTTCTTCTCTTCGTTCAATATTGTGTGAACATCCTCAGTTTCATCTGACAAGGGAAGAGCATGTCTCAGAAAACCTGATGCCACAGAACTGATTGGCAGTCTGGATGAGAGGCCATTGTGAGCCCTACATAAGGGTGGAATAATAATACTTTTTAAAAAGTATATGCATCTTGGCACATGCATCTTCCTGTGCTTTTGAAATATTTATACAAGTTACATCCTGAAGTCAGAAAATTTACAGGACTGTGTTGTTCTAGGCTTGGTGTGTTGCTTCTTTAAAATCTACTAAAACATGCCTTGAAAGAGTGTCTAAATGCAGGCCAGGCAGATGTATTTGGTATCCCTTATTTTCAGAGCTTCTCAGAGCTAGCCTAACAAGCCAACTCAAGAGAGAACGGTTGTTTCACTCTTTGGGAGGCTGAGCATTCTAGGGAGCATTTTCTGCTTGGATTATTTTGAGATCAACAAGAGCTGCACTTCTTGAATATGAAGTGAAGCACAGGCCTTGACAGAATAAATAGTTAAACCAAAGGTGTGGCTTGGGAAGGATATTAGCCAGAGGGTAATTCAAACAGATGCATGCCTTCTCTCACACACAAGCTTGCAAACATAACACTCTCTTTTTTCTGTGCTGGACTGTGTTCCTACTGTTCTTTATGCTGCAGGATAATTCATGCCTTATGGTGGCAGATTTATTTTTTCCAGATTCCTAGATGATACATATAAAATGTGCCCTTCTCTGTGCTTGGAGACATGCATATTCCTTAATTCTTTACATATTTTCTATAGGGACCCTTGATTTAAACATGCCCATGACCCTAATGTGTGAATTAGCCCTTGTATGTGTGTGTGCATGCACACATTTCCACATGCTTCTTAGTGATGAAATGGGGCAGCAGAAAAGCCAAGAATAAACTCAGCTATAATATGTATAGGTATATTTCCATGAGTGAAGATAAGCAAGCAAGTTATAACTGCTCCAAATGCTGACTGAACAAAGCTCTAAAAGTGAGTTGATATTCTAAGCCACAATTTGACATTTGTCTCAACAGCTCAGACTAATGACAAACTGCTTTCCCAGACAATTGTAGCTCTATCTGTGTTCACATAACATATTTCATTACGCCCATTTGGTACTGGATCTGTGTCTGCCCATATTCAGCCCAAAGTCCCAAAAGGAAACAGCATAAAACAGTTCATTGCACATTTGGCTTCTGTGCTGTAGACAGAATGAAAAATATGTCTGATTCTCCTGCAGGGTTGCATCAGCTGTAGTACAGCATAGCGTCTGGGATCACATTCTTTAAAAAGAAATACTAGTCTTATCTGACAGTGGCTCAGAAGACTGGAGTCAAAAAACAACCTGTTAGAGAAATGCAGGGCCCATCACATTCTGAACCCAAATTTACACACTGATTTCAGGATTTCCCCTTTGTTTATTTTCATTCATTTAAATAATATATACACATTTTGACTAGGAGCTTTTTGTCAAAGCCATGCCCTCTAACCATACCTGAATTCAGGCCTGGAGTCTGGATTTTCCAGTATGGTCCCTGTATGTACCTGTCAGTTTAGATCTAACTTCTTATTCCCCTGTCCTTTTCACTTTCCACTCCCGGTAGCATCATTATTCAAGTTAGTTCTGTCAGTCTTGAACATTGCTACTTTTAAGTTGTTTGGAAATCCTTTTAAAATGAATGTACAGCAGCAAGAGATGATTTTTGACCTTGCTTAAAAACCATCCAGTAGCTGCTCGGCCTCTTATTAACTCTATAAAACAGGCCTATTATAGAATTCTTCATTAATTATCTGACTGTTTAGAAAAAGCTTCTCTGTAAAACTAACCCCCTAGGTTAAAATAGGGCTGTACATATGATGTGTAAGTATCCATATGAGAGTGTGCATTCACAATACCTAAAAGATTAAGGTAGAATCAAACTTAATGAAGGCTAACTTAATGGACTGAAAGTTTTAAATAACATCTGAATATCCATAATTGTGAATTGTTCTGTTTCTTACTAGTAAATAGAAGCAGATGGTCTCATGAGTAAGATAGAAGTGAGGGGGTCAACTTTGAGAAGTCTCATTTGGTTCTCTCTGTGTCTTTTATTTCCAGATTAACAACAAACCCTGTGGCAAAGTTGGTGTACCTCAGCAAGTAGCCCGGGATGCAGAAATAGTTCGTGAACTGGTTGTTCAGAGTAAGCTGGGGATGAAATATCTTCAAGGACGTACAATTACAAAGTTCTTCTTGTCTCCTCGAACTGCCCTTATCAACTTCCTTGTCCAGGAATAATGTGAAGAGACATTTTCTTAGCACTCTGTAACTGGGGCTGCGTAATTTCATCAAAACAAGAAGACTTTATTTCAGAGCAGACAAATGAAACATACATAGGTTAAGCAGGGGAAAGAATGACCACTTGTCACATTAATGAAAAACGTTTGATGCAACTTAGTTATCCTTTCTTATTTAGAAAGGAAGTTATCTCACTGATGGTACAGAAGACAGAAAAACAGAAGGAGTTAGAGAAGAAGAAAAAATGGAAATGAGTGAACAGCAAATTGCATTAATTTTTTATTTATTCAGATTTTATATACTGTCACAATGGCCACATGACACTCTGGATGATTTACAGCAATTAAAAACCATTAAACAAAACATAAAAAATCAATAACATTTACCAAGTCAGTAAGTAAAACACCAATTCCTTCAGCAGGAGCACCAAGTGTGTTGACTTCATGCAATAACCGGAGTGGACAACATTTTATATATACATAACAATTAAAATTTTAAAATTCATCAATTAAAATACCACCCTAAAATTAGAATCAAAAATTAGAATTAAGGATTTCAATAGTTAAAATAGGCCAAATATGAAAAAGTATTTGCCTGGTGCCAAAATGTGTACAAAGAAAGTGCCTGGCACACACCTCTGGGAAGCCAGCTCCACAAATGGAGTGCCATGACCGAAAAGGCCCTACACTGGTGTTAGTTGACTTCTTAGCATCCTTTATAAGTAGCTCTTGAAGTAGGACCTCCAATGAAGAGCTTAGGGTCTGGATAGGCTTATCTCTGTGACTCTGTACAGTTCTACAAGTGTTTTTTTCTGGAAATCATGTTCAAGAATTGGTGTTTATTTTTTTACATGTTGACAGATGTGGCCAAGTGTTGCAATGTTTGGTGCCTTTCTGAATTCTCCTTTCTCTTTTCCAAGTGTGGCATTAATTTGGAGTGAGAGAACTACAAACTTTATTCAAATTCCTGAGCCCCTTTGGTTGGTTGTCCTCTTTTAAAACTCTTTGAATTATTGGAAACAAGGTACTCATGAAAGAATGTTCTGGTATTTTCAAGCACATGGTGTAATACTGGGCCACAATATGAATATAAAGAAACCGACCTTTCTTTAAGATGGCATCACAGTTACTAGGCCTTCCAGACAAGATTCACAAACAAATCCAATTTTGTAGCCTCAAGTTTTTTTATTCAAAAAGTTCTGGTCAGATTCTGAGTTAAGCTTGACTCTCAATGAATTCGTATCTTGGGTGTTTCATCTGTCATTTTAATGAAAACTTGCTGAGCTTTATCTTATCTGAGTTGGGCATTCGAAATTCTGATTCACAGGAATATTTTGATCCTCAGGCCTTGTGACCTCAGAGCTGGGACTCCAAGATTCCCCCTTGCAGCCAGTGCAGAAAAAAATGCTGGCTGCCACTCTAAGGATGTAACTGGGCCCCAGAAAGGACAAGAAGGGGTTGCAGCAGGGGAAGAGGCTGGGCCCATTGCTTTACACTGCTTCCTAGAGACAGCCCAGCCTCCTTCCCTCCCCAGCACTAAACCTTGACAGCTGTTCAAGAAAATATAAGTCATGGCAGCAGTAAAGAGTGCTGCCACTGGTCCTCACCAGGCCTGTGCATTAGATGCACATAAGCCTCTGCGTTTGGAGACTTTCATGCATCTAAGGTGGGGCACTTCAGATTGCAGCATCCAGTCCATTTACATTCTAGAGCAAGGTGGTCTTCTGGGACCTTTTTGGGTTTTTTGTTTGTCTTTTCTAGGCTATCGAGTATTAACTGAAATCACATTGCAGGATTAAAGAAAAGCCCAAATTGGAACTGAGCTTCCTCTCAAACCAAAAGTCTTAATTTACCATCGAGCTTTCATTTCAACTGACTAATTGACAGTGAGGACAAAGGTATTGTGGCTATTGTTAAAGAGTTGGAAGTTAGAAACCCTTGGTTCTCTTTTGCCAGTCATCTAGAGACTACTTTTTGCCCACTTCTGCTCTAGAGTCCCTGTTGGCATGATCTAGGCTATTCCATCTTTCTCATCTGCTCTTTCAGCAAGAAGGCAAATGCTAGAAAGGCTACTTTGCTTTCTCCATCTCCAGCTGGGCTTAAGTAAAATAAAAACAAACTCTCTTGTGATGCAAGAGAACTTTTCTTTATAATAAGAGTAGCAAATAACTTTTAAAATAAGTATTCCTTTAGTAAGCTTTCTCATCTCCCAGTAGTCAATGAATGAGAAGTGCTGGCAATGATAATTCAGGCTGTCAAGTTTATGGCAAGTAGTTTCACCAAAACGCAGTCCCTTTTTACAGCAAAACAAAACCTCTTTGTTAATATCACAATGAACTGGAAAAGAATGTTAATTAGCACTTTGCAGATGGTTCCTTACATTCTGTGCGACTAGCTATGCTTTGCTCAAAGTGCCAGGATTTCTCATGTATCATTGACTGGGGCTTGGACTTGCCTGGTAAGCGACATGGTTAATTAGGAAAAAAGGAGACATCACAAAACAGCCTTTATGTGTTTCTGTAGTTTTCAGCAGAAGCAAGGAAGGAGGGGGTGGTTAGTGGGGGAGGCTGAACATCCTGGACTTAATGCTCCAAATGTGTGGAAGATCAAATCAGGCTTTTATGGGAAAGGCATTCTCCTTGTCCAGTGAGTGTTCCAGGTATGCCAGACAGACGTAGGGAACATATAAGCAGAAATTTTCTATGGCAGGCTGTTTGTTTATAGCGTCCAATCAGACACTATGGAGTGTCCAACTTAGGAACACAGCTGGGCCAAAAATGACTGTCTTTTCCAGCTTCCTAAAGAGAGAGGCACATATGCAAAGGAGTGCAAGATACGTACGGTTGGGTCCAATGGTGGCTGTCAACCTGTAGAACACAAACAGTTGCTGTTATGGATTTCCCCTCACCCTTCTGCCCTCAATGTATTCTCAACTGCTCTGGATGACTAGGTGACGCAAAGCAGATCTGTGGTTATGCAGTGGGTTTCAGGTGAGGGACAGTGAAGGAAAGCCCCACTGTACAAGCACAAATCTGTGTGATTTGGATTTAACTCATAGTTCCTGTGCCCTCAATTCCCCGTCTCATTCAGTGTGCAGTTTCAAGCTGATGTAGTGCAGTGGTAAGGAGAGCTTTGGCTGTACCAGGAAATGCTTCATTTTAAATCTGATTCACCCATTTGTTCACCATCCCATAGAGTTTGTGTGTACATGTGCATTTGTGTGTGAGTGTGCTGCAGCGGGAAAGAGGGAATTGGTCAAATATCAAATACCATCTCAATAGAACTTACAAAATTGATATACAATGAAGTTTCCAGCACCTCCCCTTCTTTTCATAGTATGACATTTCAAACATGGTTTACATTCCTACTTTTTGCTTTTAATCGAGTATTTAAAATTGTGCTGTTTCATGCTGGTGGCAATGGCAGCTAAACCTTTAGTGGTTTCCTGCTGAACTTCACTGGCAAATTGCTACAGAAGAGGAAAATGACACATTTAGGTCGAAATGGTTAGGTCCCTATGTAGCAGCTGAGTTCTAGCTACTGAATTGATGAGCAAATCCCCCAGAGTTGCACACCTCTGAAGTAAGTAGCAAGGAAAGACATGCGACCTTCAATGGAAAATTATATTTTACATAACTAATGAAGTTAATTCTACCCTGAAGCAGTATCACTGGGCAAGAGATTGTTATAAAGGCCCTTTTTAAACATTCCAAGTGACAATCGACCAAAGTAATATCCCCTTTCCTTCCTCCTCCTCCATTTCCCCACCAAACTTTTCTAAAAGAATAATAATAATGAGCAGAATCCACCATGAAGTTTTTCTTGTCTATGTTCCATTGAAATAAATGGCTCTCTACAGGAATGCATTAGTGTTCTTGCACGATGCCTATCAATTTCAATAGAGTTTGGGTGAGATAATTTCCCAGTAGATTGTGCTAATTTTAATCCATGTATGGTCTTTTCTGGAGTCCCTTGGGGACTATACAAAATGAGTACAGATGCAGTAAAATCTTCACTCTAAAAATTTCCTTTGTGTAGGAGGTATGCAAGATCAACAGCATGTACCTACCCAGGCCTCCTAGTGCTTAGGTGCATTAAAAGTGTCCCTTGGCTCCAAGCTGAACGTGTTCAGTTGAAGGAAAAACAGGATGACACACCTTTCAACTAAGGACTGGGAAGAACAAAACACAAATCATGCACAGTGTGTGATTTGCAAAATGTAGATCACGTGAAATGGGACTGGAACAATTTCTCAGATCAGCATAGCTCTGGGAGCTGTTTTTCTTAATTCTCCACTTCCTCAGATCAAGTCTAATCATTGGGATTTCTCTAGCTGCCAATGGAGGTCAAGTTCAGGAACTATTAGTGAGGAGTGGCTGAGAACAAGGACCTGGCTTAATTATGTGATGAAGCTGTGAACTGATAGCACAAAGGATCCAGCTGCTGTTGATGATGAAAAGTTGAACAAGCTTATGCAGGAGCAGAAACATGATACAGAGTGAGTCTCAAAAGTAGAAACGGCCTCTTGGTTGGTCCAGAAGGCCACCATCCAGTTTATCCAACTATGTCAACAGTGAAAGACTGTGTGCTCTGTGTGTATAAGACCCCAGTTCTTCATCTGAAGTGCCTGCACAGCCTGTGCTTGTCCTTGTTGCCCATATGGAGCACCCAAAGATCACAACACCAAATCTTATTTGTATGTATGTCTGTATGTATGTATTTCCTTGGGCTTTACGTCCAAGATAGTACCATACTTAACTGGGAGAGTACATACTTTGCCTGTGATAACTTCCTACTTCAGCCCTTGGCAGGATCTGCAGCAATAAGTCTCATTAGCAGATTATAAGAAAAACTGAGAACCTGAAGAACCTTTGCTAGCCAGAGATCATAGTTACATCTAGTCTAGCTCAATGTTCCACAACTTGGTGGTCTTCAGACACACTGGGCAACAACTCCCAGCATGGCAATTGGGGGAGTTGTAGTCCAACATATCTGGGGAGAACAAGGATGGGTAGGAAAAGCCACAGTGAGCATGATGAGAATTGTAGACCAGTGCTTCTGAGATGGGAGAATCTGGGCTAGGTGAACTAATAGTCCAGCTTGATCTAAGGACACTTCCATTGTTTTCAAAGGCTGCAATTTTGTGGGCACCTCCTAGTTATATTGCTGCTGCTAAGAGAATTAGGGCACCGTTCTATGTGGCTACTTGTAAGCTTCCAAATTCAGGTTATTTACATTGGATAGAGGGCAGGGGGAACATGAAGGCTAGGATTGTCTCTGCACTCTCCTGTTCCTCAAAAATATGTAGATCGCAAATTTTTGGCCATTAAATGTTTTGTCTCCTCGTGAGGAGCAGAGGCTGGGGCACAACCTGGGTGCCTTGCCCCTCCTGTCACCCTAGAATGCCCCACCCCAGTGCCTATCCTGAAGATGCCCTTCCATATTCAAGGCTCCAGCTGGCACAGAAAGACCCATGCTGGTTGAGAGGGGTGGAGGTGGGCCCTCTGAAGTCAAAAGTACTCACAATGACCTCAGCTTTTCTGAGGTTGAAGTTAGGCCTCTTCCTATGCCTGGGCAGACAGTATCTACTGTCCCTAAGACTGTGCCCTTCATGGACTGTTCATGTGACATCTTCACTGCTGTTTAGGGAACAAATCCTTAACACTGCCAGAGGTAGCAATCTGAGATCTTGAAGAGCAGGCAGCTCTGAGGGCCATTCATTCTGGGAAAGACCACAAATTAAATTTACATGAATGAAGTAAAATGAAGTATAAATATAATCCTTGTCTCTGAGCTAGACCAAAGTTCAAGCCTTGGCAAAGCAAAGAATTTGTCAGCTCTATGCCTTTTTTTAGCACCACATCATTCTTTGAGAAAATTCTCCAGTTAAAATGTTCTGTGGCTTCAAGAAGCAAAAACTTTAATTTCCTTCATCGATGATGAACCTTCCATCTATGGAAATCAACAGAAACAATCCTGGTTCTTTTAATAAAGGTGGTTAGCTGCTCCAAACCAGCCTGCTCCAAATTTCTACTAGGATAATTCCAAATTAAGCAGCAGTTGCCTTGACAAGTCCTTAGAGCTTCACGGTAATGAATTTCTGAGACTCTCCA